AGCCAAAATCGAATTGTAGAATACGGACATAATATGAAGTTGTGTGTTGACACATGGCGACGTGTTGACAATGTACTGTGTGGCGACAGCCATCATATAACGCATGATATTTGACAGATGCCTGAATCTCGCTTACGACATTTTCAAGATAAGCTTGCATATATACAAGTTCCGAGCAACAACATTTGTACCGTCGGTCTACCGAGCAAATATCACCCGCTCAGTGGAAGATCTTCCCTTTGTCGTATTCCTACAAACTGGTGACCTGCGACGGAACAATTGCAGTTTTCACACTTCATCATCAGCGCATCAAGAACTTCGGCTACGACAATTCCCGCATTCTCGCAGATAAAAGCAAGTCATCGACAGTCGTCCCACAGCAAGCCAGCATCGCAGCCTCAACTGGACCATCGCAGCGAACTCACCGCGCTTCCTGGTCCTACGGCACGCACCTACACTGCCTCATCACGCCACTACAGTTCATCGCAGCCCACGACCGGATCATCAACGCTTGGGGTCACACATCTCGGGCGTGGCAGCTCTGCATCACATGGACTACTCACGACACTCACGCAACATTCAAGCTCAGTCTCAACTCACCGCGGACTTCGAGCAGCACTGGCGACACGCACGCAACATTCAAGCTCAGTCTCGACTCACCGCAGACTTGGAGCAGCACTGGCGACAATCACGCAGCATTCAAGCTCAGTTTCGATTCACCGCAAACTTCAAGCAGCACAGGCACTTGCAAGCTAATCTCAGCACGGACAACGCTAACTAAATGACACGACCTCCGGTCTCGGAGGGGAGTGATGTGGCGGTAGCCATCATACAACGCAAGATATTTGACAGATGCCTGAATCTCGCTCACAACATTTTCAAGACAAGCTTGCGTATATACAAGTTCCGAGCAACAACATTTGGACCGTCGGTCTACCGAGCAAATATCATCCGCTCGGTGGAAGATCTTCCTTTCGTCGTAAACCCAAATACTGTTACTGTTACAGCTAATACCAATTAGGACCTCTTGTAATTCCGCGGCGGTAGGTACCACTACCCTGCCTATTTCAGCCGTGAAGCAGTAATGCTCTTCGGTTTGAAGGGTGGGACAGCCGTTGTAACTATAGTGAGACCTTAGAACTGATATCTCAAGGTGGGTGGCGGCATTTACGTGGTAGATGTCTATGGGCTTCAGTAACCACTTAACAGTGGGCCTTGAGCTTGAGAGAGTAAAAATAAAAAATAAAAAAATATCAATATTTGTGGTCAAAATCAAAGTATCCAACACTGATACTAGGGCGTTCGGCTGTGACCATTAAGTTACCTCTATCTACCGCCAGTACATTATCTTCATCAGAAGCACCTTTATCCTGTTTTCAATATCGTTATCTTCTAAATTCAAGTTTAAGTCAAACTAAGTAGGGTGGGTAACCGTTCGACTTCCCACATAATTTCGCAAAGTGAGCGAAAATCTTTGACGTACTACATACGACCTGTTTTTCTGGCAGCGTATAGTATAGATGTCGACAAAACGTCCTGATTAAACTTGGGATATAAGGAAAGGGCGGCACTCTTATCTGCGATCTTATGGCCGGTTTAGTTTTCAATTCAATGACATGACATTGAGGCTAGGCCAAATGTGATTTGGCAACCAGACAGATTGGTAAGTTGATATAAGCACGTAGCTAGCCACCTTGGTGTTCTTATATAGATTGCGTATGTGACTTTCCATTATTTCCGTAAGAACGAATACATTTATACACATTCGACTTAGTGATAGCAATAAATTTGTGAATGTTGAAACATTTTATAAATACTTTGATAATAATAAATAACTAGCTGACCCACAAATAATTCAAGACCAAAATTAGCCAAATCGGTCCAGCCGTTCTCGAGTCTTTGCGAGCCGAACGAATAGCAATTCATTTTTATATATATAGATATTATTAAACGGGAATAAGTCACGCGCGGTCCTATCCGGCCTAAATTAGGATTGGCTGTATTATGGAAACCAGAGACTGATAAATACACTTTTTTTAACTATAAATACATTTTTTTTTTATTGCTTAGTTGGATGGACGATCTCTCAGCCCACCTGGTGTTAAGTGGTTACTGGAGCCCATAGACATCTACAACGTAAATGCGCCACCCACCTCGAGATATAAGTTCTAAGGTCTCAGTATAGTTACAACGGCTACCCCACCCTTCGAACCGAAACGCATTACTGCTTCACGGCGGAAATAGGCGGGGTGGTGATACCTACCCGTGCGGACTCCCAAGAGGTCCTACCATCAGTGAAGACATAAATAGATAATAAACACCCAGACGAAGAACAAACAAACCTGTTTATCACACGAGTGTTTGCTCAATGTGGGAATCGAACACATATGGACTCAGACGCTAACTTTTATAGAAAAGCTTAAGTTTAAGATTTCAACGATGATAAGAACTACTGACAAGCGGTGACCATGAAAATGACTTTGCAGTCCAATGCATTTAATTGTTACCTAGATATTTTCTTGCATTACACGACCAAACGAACCTGTTTGTTATGTGATTACCTTAAAACAGCCGTTCACCTTGGGATTCAACTGTATACTGAATTATAAGTACTCATTATTCAACAAGTTCCTACCGTGATTTCTAATTTTAGTGAGTTCTTGATATTTCAGCGATGATGCGAGCGCCATGATCGAGGGTAGGTAGTGTGGGTTTAAGAACAGATAAATCTGTCTACTCTCTTTTTAGTTCGTTTTTTGGGTGTCTTGGGACAAACTATATCTCGCCTCAACCTTATTGACAATTTTTTTCGTGATAAAAGTGAATTTAAATGATTTTTTTTTATTAATTTTCTTAGGATTATAATTTGACTGGATCTCTTTCTGTGGGTGTCTGATAATAGGATATACGGATATACATGAATATTCGAGCTTATCCTAGTATTTTACCAGCATACTACAATCTTCAACTGGCATATGCTGGTGGTAGGACTTACTATAAAGTCACACGGGTGAATTTTTTTACTCTATTTCCGCTGAAATGCGAACGAAGCCGTAGATTACAAAAAGTGATAACACATCCTTTACATGTCCTTCTGCAAACGAGGCCTGTGGTGAGTACTTAATGATAGGCAGCGGCTTGGCTTTGCCCCTCGCATTGTTGAAATCCATGGGCGACGGTAATCACTCACTATCAAGTAAGCCATATGCTCGTCTGCCTACAAGAGCAATAAAAAAAATGAAAAAAGTGAATGCCGTCATCCACCTGAATGATCAACAACTTGTTTATTTCGAGATCATAATACATTGTACTAATGGGATAGAAAATATGTAAAAATCTACGTAATTAATGTTATCCTCCTCTCCTCCTGTCGTGCTTTGCCTGTCTGAGGGTCGTGACCACCTCCATTCTCTTTGAATTTCGTGATCACGATGTTTTGCATCCCGTCTTTGATTACTAAGACACAGGATGAGATGGTATAGAATGAAACAAAATCTATACATATAAATAAAATTGGAGTGTCTGTTTGTAATATTGAAATAACCGCTTTTTACTACATGCATATGGAATATATATACGGTACACCATACACCAAAATAGCATTATTTACAATTTTTGTCTGTCTGTCTGTTCGTTCCGGCTAATCTCTGGAACTGCTGGACCGATTTTGACGGGACTTTCATTGATAGGTAGCTGATGATATAAAGAGTAAGGAGTTTTTTTAGACTAGCTTCGCCCCGCGGTGTCTCCCGCGGGTAACATCGCAGGACTCAGCTTGTCATATATAAATATGCTCATATTTTATAATATGTACAACGATTTTAATAATTAATAAACTTTACATACATTATTACATTTCAATATTACATATCGTTACATATCAATCGCAAGCACTCGCATCAATCAAACGTATCAATCGCATACACTTAATATTGAAATTGGGCCACGTTCGTAAATGTTTAAAAAACGGCGATTGTTTTTTATTGCTTAGATGGGTGGACGAGCTCACAGCCCACCTGGTGTTAAGTGATTACTGGAGCCCATAGACACCTACGACGTAAATGTGCCACCCACCTTGGGATATAAGTTCTAAGGTCTCAAGTATGGTTACAACGGCTGCCCCACCCTTCAAACCTGATACGCATTACTGCTTCACGGCAGAAATAGGCGGGGTGGTGGTACCTACCCGTGCGGACTCACAAGAGGTGCTACCACCAGTAAAGACTTATGACTACTCGAGGGCTACCTCTTGTACTTAAATGGTACTATGATATAAATGTTTCCTCAAAAACTTGTAAGAAGTTTTCAAAAATACCATTATTTAGTAATTGATTTTAAATTCACTATTTTTTTTTTTAATTTATCTATCACCGTTCTTTGTGATCTCGATTAGATTTGCGTTAAATAATGTAAAGAAGATTTGTCGTGTTTTTATTTTTTTCATTTTTTTTTATTTTTTTATTGCTTAGATGGTTGGACGAGCTCACAGCCCACCTGGTGTTAAGTGGTTACTGGAGCCCATAGACATCTACAACGTAAATGCGCCACCCACCTTGAGATATAAGTTGTAAGGTCTCAGTATTAATTGTGTCCTATTCATGTTTAATTACAATTCAATGTAATATTACGCAATGCTAGTTTAAACAGGTTTCAATAGTATCGTATCCGAGAATAGGCAGCGCAGGATAATCGAGGAGAAAGTTATTGGTGGCGGAGACCACGACCCTCAGCATTGAGGATTATCGATGCAAAGAGAAGGATTTATATCATTGCTAATAAATAAAAATTAAAAAAAAAACTTAATCAGATAAAAATCCGAATTTCGTAAAAATAATTCTTTATATTTTACAGGTAAAACGACAATTTAATTGAACAATTCACCACAGTACGAAGTAAGTAAACTTATCGAGTATTTTTTTGTTCAAAATCATTAAAGCAAACAAATTATTATTGAAAAATTAGAATAGTTTTCAAATTTAAAAATAATAAAAATTACTTACTTAAATATTTTTTTCTTTCGGTTCTTAAAAAAGCGCAACAGAAAACGCGTTCACACTGCTACATAACGTATGTGCAAATGGAAACATAATATTCGATCAAATCTAAATAGTAGCTTCTTATCTATTTATAAATTTTAGTTGATATTTAGATGAAACAATTATAAAATATTGATAAAGTAGTAGTAGTTAGTGGTTTTATTTTTCCGACTGGAAAGGNTTTTTTTCTTTCGGTTCTTAAAAAAGCGCAACAGAAAACGCGTTCACACTGCTACATAACGTATGTGCAAATGGAAACATAATATTCGATCAAATCTAAATAGTAGCTTCTTATCTATTTATAAATTTTAGTTGATATTTAGATGAAACAATTATAAAATATTGATAAAGTAGTAGTAGTTAGTGGTTTTATTTTTCCGACTGGAAAGGCAAGGGTGTCATAACATACAGCCTAATCTGTTATATTTATATATTATTATTTTTGATATGAAAAATGATAATATGAAGTAAAATGAAATGAAGTTGATTAATATGAAACATGGCATGAAATGAAATGAGATGAGATCATATGGGATGAAATATAATCTCAGTAAAATGGTGGTCATTTATTGATACTTTTTCAGTGGACTTTTTGGGAGGATCCCGAGAAGTTACGTCCAGCGCACAGATACTAAATAGTTAATAAACCACAGGTATTAGCATTTAAACCTGAAGAACCACAAAATAGACAAAATAACACAAGGCATTCCCGCCAAAAAGACCAATATTGATAAAACACAGTTAATAATAATATATTTTTATTAGGGAAAAGACAAAGGCATGCTTAACATACAGCCAAGAAATATGCGTGAACCACAGAATATTGACTCATTTGTAATTTCATTTTATACGTATTATTAAATAAACTATGTGCCGATTTAATATTAATTGCTTATTTAAAAGCCTAATTTAGATATAATGTTTTTCTTGTAAGTCTAAATAATTACAAGGAAAATACGATTATGAAAATCTAAACTAATCACGATAAGAACTATAATACTTGTGTAAATTAAAGCAAAAAAAATATTATGTTACACATATAATAAAAGTTAAAATAATTAATTATGTTTCAACTGTATTCTTTACACTCTTTGCTTTCACCATGTTTTTAACGTTAATTTTAAAGCTATGTAGTGAAAGCTGCAGTCTGCCTTGATGACATGATGTTTCGCTCCTTATTTTATTAACATACCACGGTTGGTTAGTCATGCTCAAAAATAGGGTGTCAATATTTCAATCGGGAATTTAGTCCTTAGCTATTTCAAACGACCGAGTTGTCTTTTGAAGTTAAATGAAAATGAAACATCTCTGTTATAGATCTAGAAATCATTTTAAACATTATAATATTTCAGTTATCAGTAAAACGTTTAAACTTGAGATGCATTACCAATATTAAATCTATGTCTTGTTATAAAATGTGTTTAACTTGGGATGGTTTGCATTTATTGAATTATTCAAGTATATTATAATTTGCATTTTTACTGGTGGTAGGAACTCTTGTGAGTCCGCACGGGTAGGTACCGCCACCCTGCCTATTTCTGCCGTGAAGCAGTAATGCGTTTCGGTTTGAAGGGTGGGGCAGCCGTTGTAACTATATTTGAGACCTTAGAACTTATATCTCAAGGTGGGGGGCGCATTTACGTTGTAGATGTCTATGGGCTCCAGTAACCACTTAACACCAGGCTGTGCGCTCGTCCACCCGTCTAAGCAATAAAAAAAAAGATTTTATCTGATTATCCTATAGTCTATACTGGAACAAAATATCGATCAAAACTTACACGTGTTGCCATAGTTTGATGTAATATTACAATCTGTTATGTCTTTTTACTTTCTTTTCCTGTTGCTTTTGTAGGCAGATGAACATACCGTCTAATGGTGGATGGTCACCATCGCTCATGGACATTAGCAGTATTATGGACCCATTACACATCCTCATACCGCAAATTGTTTTGTCTGTCATAGATAATGTCATTAAGTGTAGTTTTTTTCCATTAGCAGTCACCGGCAAAGACGATCGAACGAGACCGGTGTAATTTGGGTTTTGAAAATTGTACGCATATTTTTATGAATTATCTCGTGAGCTTTCAACTGCGGCTGTCCTTAAAAATGCCGGAATGCGCTTTTTATATCGCATCCCTCGGTATTCAAGATCGTGAGTTTGCTGTAACCAAACATTTTTCCACAGAAGCAAAATTTTTATATAAACTTTATAGTGTTGCATACGGAATTTTGTTTTAGATTATCTCCTCCAAAAGTAATTTATGATAGAGAAGTAGGTAGTCCACATAATAATATAATAAAATAAAATAAAACATGATATTCTTCTATGTAAAATTCACAATTCAAATGTGCATAACGTATCTTAATTTAGATTTTTTTTGCGTCAGATATTGCGTTAATTATTTTTATATTTTTGTCCTTGTTTTTACTATAACTAGAGGTCCCGCAGTAGTCGAAATTCGACTATACTTAACTGGAATTGTAAGTTTGTACACTATTATGATTGTATTTTATACTTCTATAATCACAAATTTCGCCAAGGCTACACTATAAAAAAATATTAATAAAGACGAACAATATTTAATATATTCTCAATTTGACCACACACGTCAAGAACAAAAGTTTGACAATAAATAGTATGCATGCGTGTGGGCGACAAATACATGGTATGTAGTGTGTAATGTTTTCTTTACTGATTTAATGTATCTTTTATGCATTATTTTAAAAAAATATTAGCATTGTGCACTTCTTCTCTATGTTTTCTATAAGTGTAGAAAATTTCATACTCCTCCGTCCGCGCAATTTTCGTAAAAAGGGATACAAAGTTTTTGCTTCACGTATTAATATATAGATGTCTACTATGAAGACATTGAATAGTTTTAACGCGACACTTAGTAAACGTCAGTAACAATATGTTGATTTATTTTTGCGTCGTTGCAATTTAAGGTAAAGGGACCTTGTTTTTTTGGTTACTTTCTAAACATCGTGCCATCTAATACAGTCACTATCTATCTATCTATCTATCTCTCAACCGACAGACGTCCAATGCTGGATATAGGCCTCTCCCAAGCCTCGCCACTACGATCGGTCCTGTACTGCTTGCATCCAGCGGATCCCCGCTAATCTCAATAGGTCATCCGTCCACCTTTTGTGAGATGCGTACCCACGCTACGTATTTCGGTACGCGTTCACTACTCGAGAACTTTTCGGCCCCCGTACAGTCACACATTAAATTACTTCAAAACGATAAGTTCTTTCCAGTTTTAGAACATTTGTTTGCATGGTCACGGAACTGGATTTGTCTCAACGTTCACCCGAATGTTAATATGTTCGTAAACGTCTGCATGTTTTTCCATGATTTCATCCACTGGCTTTATCAGAGAGCATTCACTTTAATCATTACTTTATACTGGGTTGTGTATTTTCGAAGTGTCAACTACGAATACATCTTCTTCTTCTCTATATATAAAAATGAATTGCTGTTCGTTAGTCTCGCTAAAACTCGAGAACGGCTGGACCGATTTGGCTAATTTTGATCTTGAATTATTTGTGGAAGTCCAGAGAAGGTTTAAAGGTAAGATAAATATGAAAAAGCTCGGAATTAAATAAAAATAACAATTTGGTTTTTCCTTTGATGTGTGTCGGATTTCTTTTGTTTGTTTTAAGTTTATTTTATACAAAATATTTAGACCTTTTATTTATCGATTGAGGCACTACGAAGTCTGCCGGGTCAGCTAGTTTGAATATAAAATATAGTTTATCATTGAGTTTACGGATCCAAATCCTAGAACTCCAACATATAGTAGGCAGTATTTTGAAGATATAGACGTGGGTACACGCATTGTGTGATAAAAAAATAAAACTACGTCAATCACCATGCCTTCTATTTTAGGGAACGCAGATGACACAGATAATCGACACCGTTTTTTCGAAATCATTATATTTTACATCGATATAAATACACATGAGATTTATAATTTATTTAAATATGTACCAAAAAAAGAACACGAAATTTTGTTGTAATAATTTCTATTCTCCAAATGCGAAGTTTTCGTGGCCTAAAAGATAAGATGTCTGGTGCGTTCGTGTTTAAGCGATGCACCGGTGTTCGAATCCCGCAGGCGGGTACAAATTTTTGAAGGGGGAGGCAGCCGTTGTAACTATACTGACCCCTTACAACTTATATCTCAAGGTGGTTGGCGCATTTACGTTGTAGATGTCTATGGGCTCCAGTAACCACTTAGCACCAGGTGGGCTGTGAGCTCGTCCACCCATCTAAGCAATAAAATAATAATAATAATAATAATACTTATTTTATTAAAATCTGATTATTTTATTAAAACCTTACCGTAACAGTCGTAGATCTTATACGTGAACAGGTCTATGGTACACTATTAAATGCAAATGACTTGGAGCCTAGCCATTATATCTGTGTGCATTTAAATGAAAACAAAGGTTTCATTATTTAAAATGGAAGCGTATTTGCTTAATAATTTCTATGACATTGTTTTTATGTTGATGTTTTATAATAAGCCGCTTTGTACTATAATAGAACTATACATAAAAATGTTTAATATATTTTAATTTTGATTGTGTAGCTATTTTCTTCAGATCGTTGAAAGAGTTATTTTGAAATATCCAGGTAGGTCAATGTGTTCACCGTCCATCTGGTGTAAAGGTACTTACTTAACCTTGAGGTGTATAGATTCGCCACTACTCTTGGGTTCAAGTTCCAGTTTAAATTATATTGTAGGATGGTTATCACACCCTCCAAATTGGAACGCGATTCCGCCAAAAATAGGCTGGTAGTTAATACCCGGGTGCGTTTAGAATACGTCTTATCATCAGTAAAACATGGTTTAATTGTAGACAGTCATATGAGTGCACGTTTGATGTTAACACTCACCATGAACATTAGATAGATTCAGGTGGGTGGCGCATTTACATTGTAGATGTCTATGGGCTCCAGTAATCACTTAACACCAGGTGGGCTGTGAGCTCGTCACACAGCAAAGCAATAAAAAAAAAAGATCTAACTTTGAGATCTACTCTGTCTGTCCTAAAG